AATGAATGAAAAATAAACTTTATTGAAATGTAAAACAGTACAGAGGAGAAAAAAGGTATATGAAACGTTATGAAATTTAAAAAAAAGGGCTTGCTGGAAGGAAGAAAACAAGTTGTAAAGATGAAGATGAGTTTTGAGAGTAGATTATGCTCTAGGTGTATTATCCATCGTCTTCAATTTGGATGAGGGTGGCTGGGGGAGCGACCATGTCAAAGGACACGCAGATTTATTGATTCGAGTGGATAAGATGCATTCTTAAATCAAGAGTGTGTAGTACTGCTGGAGGTAGATAAGTGCTGATGCGGGCTTGAGCTTCGAGGAAGATGTTCAGATTATCCTCCAGACTTTTACTGCTTCGAAGCCACGATCTTCCAGAGCGTCCTTGACGTAGATTATTACGTAATTAAATATTATTAATTATAATAATTTCAATATACATGATCTGGCTTGTCTATAAAACCATAATTTTCCCCAAAAATAGAAACAAAAGGATTTTTAAAACTTATTTTCTTTTTAATAATAATAATTTATTGGCCAAACATCAATACATAAGAAAAAAAATAGGCTGGCCAAAGGACTAACGACCTTTGGTCTTTCCACCAAAGAACATAAATTTAATTATGAAATAATATCAGTATTATAATAATAATATACAAACGAACAACAAAAGAATATATAGAGTTGTTTCTTTTTTTATAATCGAAGGGCGGAAGGGAGTAGTTGTAAGGTGTTATTTTGATTTTGTGGGAGTTCTGAATAAGCGTGCAGGACATAAGTTAATGGAATTTGGAGATGATTTCTGGAGAAGGATCCGGATTTTGGGAAACGAAGGAGAGAAGACTGGAGTTCATAATGGTTTCGACAAACAGGGAACAGGAAATGTTATTTTTAATTATATAGGATTTAATAATGCGGAATTTATGTTGGAATATAAGACACGGTGGCTGCTATCCGTTCAAGGGAATTTATTTAGAGGTGAAAAGAAAAAATCAATGTAAATTTTAAATAAATATTATTTATTGAATTAATTTGACATTTACATATTTATATAAAAAAAAAACGTTACATGAAAATAGTAACAAATAGTAATAGACAAACAAAATAA